GTGGCACAGGAGTGAGATGGAAGATATTAAAGATATAAGGAAGGTATATATACATTGATGCCCTACAGATGGTCCACCAGTAAGTGTCTCTTCTTACGGCGGAAGTACAGCTATTGTTAGTTCCAGGACAGGCTTCCCCAAACTCCGGCCCTCCAGATGTTGCTGGACTACAACTCCCATGATTCTCAGCCTATCTATTTCATTCATAGAATCATGGGAGTTATAGTTCAGCAACATCTGGAGGGCCGGAGTTTGGGGACATATTCAGAAGAAGGTGTTTTCGATTAAGCAATTAGGCAATGAAGAATCCTGCAATTAAGCAATTAGACAGTAGGCAATAATGCGGAATAGGCATTATACACATTGCAGGGCAACGCTTTTCGTGCATTTTCATAAATATTAGAAACTTATATGTGTCCTTGTAAACATGGTGGATCTGGTCACCCTGTATATAGGGAACTCTAAAGACTATCAGAATCCATAAGTCATCTTTTTATTTCCTGTGATTGCTTTTCCGGGCCCAATAGCACTCAGCAGAGCCAAAAATTATTGTTTTTTAACATCAACACCTGAATCTTTCCCCGGTGTATAAACAGCTATCACTCAAACCACAGTTCTGAAACTGTAGGGAAATAATAATATTGTTAAATAAAATGTGCCGGTCACTTCCTATCTCCTCTCAAGTTAATATTTTACTAACAATGACTCTGAAAGTCAGACATCACATGTGATATAGCCATCGCACAGAACTGCAGAATATTTGGACTAATTGAAATAATAAACATACTGATATAATGGTAAAAGTAGAATACGTCAGCAGATCAGGAAATGTACGGAATGTGAAACGGGTAAAATTACAATTCCGTACGCATCAGAACAGTGGATGATCAATACCTATATACATAGTCAGGTCAAATGGATTCCTTTCTTCCAAGCGATACATCACTTGTAAAAGACTGAATTTCTATGTGTTGAGAGAAACACGTCAGGCTCTGTTAAATCAGGCAGAAATACAATGAGCCGCTAAGGTACAAAAGAAAGAGAGATATGATTATTCTCCCTCTGCCGCTGAGGTTAATCCACCCACAGCTTCTCTAATAAAGCCAGCCCTGAGTGGAGACTTGCGTCACTATATATTCATTTTTCAGATGATACAGACTGGTATATCAGGCAGAGTCCCCATAAGAATCATTTTAGCATTATTTATTCTAAACTCACTTCAAAGAATGATAGCATCACAGATAGCTAAAATGTATAACTAATGGAAACATTCTTTAATTAATATAACCAATTTCATTTTCCCCAGTATATCTCCTCAATTCCATTCCCCTAGCATATCTCATCAGTTCCATTTCCCCCAGTTCCATTTCCCCAGCATATCTCACCAGTGCCTTTATCTCCAGCATATTTCCCCAATGCCATATACCCCAGCAGGGACAGTGCTGTTTCCCCCAACATATCTCTCCACTGCTGTTTCCCACAGCATATCTCTCCAGTTCTGTTTCCCCCAGCATATCTCCCTAGCTCTGTTTCACTGTACAGTTACAGGTTCAAGAAAAACCCTGACACTAACACTCAATGTATTAAATACAGCAGGGATGATGACCAGTAGAGCAATGCTAACTAATGGTAACTGTTTATTTCACTGGGTAGAATGTCTCTGACTTAGTGTCAAAAGATCTTCAGTACTTAAAAGGAAACTATAGTGCCAGGAAAACAAACTCGTTTTTCTGGCACTATAGCTTCCCCCTCTGTCAAGGCCCCTCCCTCCCTCCTATGGTGCAAAATGGGTTAATTACCCCTTCTGTCACTTACCTGGGTCCAGCACCGATGTCCCTCGCCGCACTCGCATTAGGATTTCCCTATAGTTAACCATTATTCAATGCTTTCCTATGGGGATTCCGGTGCATAGCATTAAAAAACCCCAGCATCGTTTAGGTGACCAAAGGTCACCTATCCACCCGGAAGTCCCTCTAGTGGCTGTCTGGTGGACAGCCACTAGAGGAGGAGTTAACCCTAGCAGAAGTGCCGGCGTGTCCTATAGGTGACTTAGGCAGTTGCCTAGAGTGCAAGATTTGGGTGACCCAGCAGGTAGGAAGCGCAAAGCTCTCCCTCATGCCAGTCACTCAATGTAGTGTGGCCAGGCGACATGGACCGCGGTACAGGAGCTTCTGTTTCCTGTACACGGCGGCTGGCCGGACTGACAGGAAGTGTTCACTCAGTGAGCATTTCCTGTCAGTCCAGCCGAGTACAAGAAACAGAACTCCTGTACTGCTCCATCTGGCCATGCTACAAAGTGCTACAGCAGCGGGGGAGAATAACACTAAGGGAGGAGAGGAGGACGCAAGGGAGGGGTTTCACACTAAGGGGAAGGACCACTAAGAAGGAGGGCAAGGAGGATCACTAAGGGGTGGGAAGTGGGAGGACGCCTTTACTAAATGGTTGCAGGAAGGGGAGGGACACACAGAGGATGGGGAAGAGGAGGACCACAAAGGGGATGGGGAAGAGGGAGGACCACTAAAGGGGTGTGGGGAGGGAGGACTATTAAGGGGGGGTGGGCGAGAGAGGACCACTAAGAGGGGGTGGGGGAGAGAGGACCACTAAGGGGAGAGAGGAGGAGACCACTAAGGGACAGTTTGAGGAAATATGAATGGAACACTGAGGTACAGGGAAGAAAGGGGAAACACCACTAAGGGACAAGGGGCAGGGGAGAGCTCTAAGGACGGAGAGGACATCTCTAAGGGAGGGGAGGGGATGAGAGCACTAAGGGACAGAGGGATAGGGGAGATCACTAAAGAACAGGGGAGGTCAATAAAGGACAGGAGGGGAGGTGAGAGCA